GTGCTGGTTGCTCAGTTTCCCAAGAAGTTTCGCCTTGTATCTGCAGAAGAAAAGGGATTTTGTTCACCTCCCAGAGCACAGGGCTGGGCTGCTGCAAGGGCCACCATCCACTTGGGTACCTCACCTTTCTGCATTCATAGCTTTTTCTAACCTGGGACCCAATAAACAAACAAATGGGTTTATAATAGCTAAAGGCAGAGAAAGCAATAGTGCATGTGTCTGTCTTGGTTTTATACTCTTCTCCAGACACTGGCTACTGCTGAAGATGGGAGCAGACAAGCTTTGGTTTGAATGGCCTGGATGTTTTCACTCCTGATGAGTACAGGGCTGGGTGGATTAGCTTGCTCTGGAAGTTTGTTCTACTCTGGTTGCCCAAACTTGCTGTTTATTTTATCACAGAGTTGCTTACAAGCATTGGAAGATGCATCTAACTTCACTAGGCTGGTTCCTCATGGACTAAGGGCCACACACATGGGTTCACCAAGCCATGGTGGTGCACGAATAGGGGAACCACAGCGGTGCAAGTTAACAGCATTCTCAACTAAACATTTATGTAAAAGACTCTGGGCTGGTGCACTGCTCGTTCATCCTCCCTTTTGAGTAATACCACCCCTGCTCGGTGCGTGAAGAGAGCCAGAGATGCCCCTGCCCTGGTCTGAGCGCCCTAGGAGGGGTGTCCGGCTCCATGCACTAATGAAGCCAAAGTCAGAGAGCAGTTGACAGATGCTGCAGAAGCGGGCTCAGAGGAGAGCAAAAGAACAACTCGGAGGCAGAAATGAAGCGATACAGATCCGCAAGCCCGTGGGCCTCGGCATAAAACCTCTCCCGCTGCGTTGCGATGGCCATCAGCGGAGTTAACCTTCCACTCTAATCACAGTCATTAAATTCCTGCTAACGCCCCTGTCCTATGTCTGCCCAAACAGCTCTGTTATCTGTCACCTCCCCACACGGTGAGCCCAGCTCCCCACTGCCGCAGCTCTCATTAATGCTGCTCTGCTTCCCTGATGAGGCAAGTGGCAGCCGGCTCCCGAGCCCAGATGAGTTTTGTAGACAGCAGGGGATGTTTATCCAACATGGAGGGGATGAAAGTACAAACAAAGAGAGACCGTACAATTACTCAGGCATCGCACAGGGCCAGTCTCATTAAAGACCGTCTCCCTGACAGGAATTAATCTAAAGTGACAAGCCAGTGAGCTAATTTAGTAAACGGGTCTGGGGCTTGGCTCGGTGCAAATTTCAGGGGTCTGTCTGGCAGGTAGAGCTGAGCTTGCTCCCAGGAGGGGAAAGGCAGGAATGTGTTAAGCTGGTCCTGTTCTGGCCCAAGCCTGTGTATCAGAAGGTATGGAGGAGACAGCAGCCTCAGGTCTCCTTGAGGGGAACAACGAAGATTAAACTTCCCTACTGCACCAATACCTTCTCCTTCGTCTTTCTCTTGTGGCCTCAGGTCATAGATGGGTTTCCAGCACATTAAGTGCACAGTAATTCTGCCACTATCCCCCCCGTAACTGTAACCACCAGCCCAACTCAGATCTTTCCTCCAGGATGCAACCTGCTTGCAATATTAGATGGCTTTTAATTTCTCTTTAATGTTAGAGCAGAGCCCTGGGAGGGGATAAAATGCACAGAGAGAAACAAGCAACTTAAAAGGCTTTTTATTTTTTAAGCAAAGATCTGGTTTGGGGAGGCTGCTTTGAATTCCCAAGCAATGAAAAACATTTTCAGTTGGAGTGCAGTGTCTCAGTGCCTTTCTATACTACAAGAATACAGGGAAGAAAAAAAGCTGACCAAGCAAATAGCCCAAAAGCCTCACGGCATCTGCCCACAACCAAACCACCCAAGGCTGTGAACTCATTAAGTTCACTGGCTAAGGTGAAGTACGGTGGTCAGCATTTGGATCAGTTGCCTTGGAGCACGAAAGGAAAAACCTCCCAAGCTGTCAGGATAGATGTCTGTGAGACCCCTGCCACTCCTCAGCGGGGATGTTTTCCCCTCTGAATTGCCACTCAACACAACGCCACTGCCTAAGCCCACCTGACCGATACACTCCGGGAAAAAACAGTCTCTTTGCCGAGACATACAACACAGGCTCTACAAGAAGCTTGCTCCACGTTGCTATCGTATGTACTTTGCCTGGGTCAGTGGCTCCAAGCTGTCAGGCTGTTTATTTGGTTTTAATCAAAAGTTAATTCTTATTCTACTGGAACTGGTATGTCTGCTGCTCCGCTCAGCCTGCTCCGCAGTGCTGGGAACAATCGGCTCCTGTGGAAATGCACCTGCCTGTCTTGTTTGGAGCCCCCATGCATCGCTTAGGAAACCAAATTCCCCCAGACTGCTTGCAATCCCCCCAGGAATGCCCAACCAGCCCTCGGAAGCTGTTGAACAGAAAGAGTTGGAGGAACCACAGCCCCAGCCAATTAATAAGCAGCACTTTTACTCTCACCCAGCCCCATTTTCAGCAGCTGCAGCAAGCAAATTTAATTCAAGGGTTCCCAGGTGCCTTGCAAAGCATCCTGCTACTTGGGGATCTTCACATTACATACACCAAGAGCTCTTCAAGCAAACCAGGGAGAGTGACATGAAAACCACCAAACCACTTTATAACCAGTGGGCATCTCAGCTGGTTGCCCTTTGGATTCCAGCTCAACAAGAGTTAATCCTCCCTCCAGACAGCCCCTCACCACCCTGAGACTGCAGGTTGCTGCCACCACATTCATGCATCCTTAAGATGCTGAAGAGCACCGTCCACGACTGCTGAGGCTGGGGAGCTCCCAGGGCTGGAGGAGAAGGTGGGCTGGCTGGCTGGGTAAGCTTTCATCAGCTTGATGCTGGCAATAAATCAGTCATGTCTGGCTGCGTGTAAGGCCTCTTTTATCTGAGGAGAATATTCCACTTCAGTCCTAGCTCTCTAGGAAGATTTTTGTGCCACCACAGCCACTGCCTGGAAGCCAGTGTATCCAGCGAGGAAGGTGCACAGGCAAACAAGCAGCTCCTCATTCAAGCAGACAAATCCCCTTTCTTAAGAGCTCTCCAGTCAGCAGTGCTTTTAAGCTTTTGAGTTTTTCACAGTTATATTCAGTAATGTTCTGCGGTCCAATGACGGAACAAAGTTTAGCCCAGGTGCCTCAGCACGGAGAAGGTGCGATAAAGCAGCAAAGCTTGTGGGACGTGGATGAGGGTGATGGTACAAGATCTGAAGGTGTCACAAGGCTGCTTGGAGCCCAAGTGAGACATCATGGGGAAAACACCAGGAAGGCAGGACAGGAGCACAGAGGGCGCTCTGGAAAGCATCGGGTTGGAGATGAGAGGGGATGTGATCCTCCAGGACATGGAGTGAGAAGGGCTCAGTGAGACCTCAGTATGGCACATGGAAGTGGAGACCTCCCCATGAAATGAAAGTGTCTTCGTCAGAGGAGGGCCAGGAGAAGGCAATACCATGAAAGCCTTTTCCAGAGTGTTTCCTGCTTGTACTTGACAAGAGTGGGAACAAATCTCCCCTGCTTCCTCCTCTCTCTGCCTCTCCTTACTCAGACCCAAGCCACCACGGTGGCACCTGTAGCCATTTCTAAGAGTCTGCCCATGCATGAACCTGGGCTACAGCAGGGCCATGGTATAACCCTCCTCTAAAACACACCACTCAATAGTCACAACTATGTGGTGATGCTGCAAAAGAAACGTTAACAGCAGTAACTGATGGGGTATGAACAAAACCAGGTGGGGGTTAAATTTGCACAGGTACTCAGCTTCCTTCATGTCATAACTTAAAGCAGAGATGTGATTTTTCCCTTTTCTTGATCCTTTTCAGC